ATTTACTTCTCGCGAGAGCGCAGTGCTTCGCGGATATCGCTTTGTCTTCAACACCAACTGGAAAGATGATGGTTTTGGTTACGCTAATATCACCCCAGACGAAGGTTCCGCGGTTCATGGCGCTTTATACATCTGCCAGAAGGGAAGCATGTGTAAAATGGATCACGAGCACATTCATGAAGGCAATCGTTTTCACCGAGTGATCGTTAAAGTGGAAAAGAGAAACGGGGAAGTTGTAGATGCGATTGCGTACAAAGCGAATAAGGAATGTGTCAAAGGTGGGTTGAAGCCAAGCCAAATTTATCTCAATGAAATACTTGAAGGAGAGGATCTTCTTCCAAAGGAGTACGCAGCATATTTACGGAACTTGAACGGTTAAGAATAAAAGGAGATAAACGAGGACAAAAGGAGAACACAAAAGACTTCACAGAAAGAACGAAATCAGCAGTTGCGTGCAACACAGAGGTTCATTTGGTTGTCACGCAACCTTTCCCGTGCTTGTCACGCGAACATCCTACTATGTAACGACCCCAAGGATTTCTGGGCTAAGAAAAAAAAAACCCAGGATGTGCCACATAAGAGTAATATTTTTCATAAATATAAAAGACTGATCTCTGAGTGGCAAAGTCTAGAATAGGGTGATGTGAAAAAAAAAGAAAAAAAATTGGATAAATAAGTTGCATTTTTCTTAGTTTTTCCGACATGAAATAAAGTTTATACCCAATCTTCATTGTAAGCAACTCTTTAATACTTAGTATTACACTTTTTGTGTTTACTGTGTTACACCCACTGAGGGTAATATTAATATTGTAATCCAGACAATATCCTTGTTGGAAAGTTTCTTAGGATCCAAATAACAGTAAGGCAGGGCTGGCACTAAGATTTCAAGTTGCTGGGTATATGCAATTGGTAGGTGGTGGGGAATTAAACAACTAGCCAGGAAGATTGGTGGGTTTTGGTTTTCTTTTGTTCCTTATAAAAGTAGCCAGTGATCATGCTGATCGCAGCCAGCCATGGGAGAAATCCCTGGCCCCCCCCAGCCCTTGGTGCCAGTCCTGAGTAAGGGCAAGCTTCTTAACAACAATATCCTCATCCTTAAGACTGATTTCTTTCAAGGCTAGCAGCTGAAAAAGCCTGAAGTACTGGACTGATTGCTAGACAATGTACAAGTAACTGCACCTTGGCTACTAGGGATAATTATCAAAATTAATAGTATAATCACTTGTTGATTAACTTTTAAGTAATATATCAAAAACGAGTGCGAGGACTTCATCAGGGTATCCAGACACTGAGAAACAGATGAAAGCACGGGGCTGAAGGCCGAGTGCTGTTATTGTTTCGAGGTGTCTGGATACCCCGACGAAGCACGAAGCATGAGTTTTTGGTATAGCTTCTTAAATGAGTGGCTGACTATTTAATCATTTAATTTATTCATCATAGTTGCTGCGTTTCATTTATTAAACAATAGCTATAGAATGTGATAAGAACCGTTTGGATGGAATGTGTCATTTGGGAGTCATCCAACTTAATTTAGTGTTTATCATAATATTCAGTTTTTGTGCGACATGGATCAGTCAAGTTCAAGGTTTCAGATGCCCAAAACTTTTGATGAGGAAAAAGAGTGTGTTATCAATTCTGTTCTGAAATCTACAGTTTACAAGAACAAATGAGCATCACAGATTTTTCAAGAATGGCAAGAGCAAAAAGCGCTCAAGATTTGCACTTTTGAGCCAGGCGGACTGTTCAAAGGAGAAGACATTGGTATAGATGTGCAAGAGTTGACTGAAAACATTGAAATCATGAATGCCAAAAGTCTAAACTAAAGGCTATCCAAGTTCACGCAACAGGTTGCAAATAAGTCAGGTGGATGATATCCCTTTCGAATGGTGAGGGCTCATTAGATTCTTTGGCTGTTAGTGACAAAAGGTATCATTTCAACTGATTTTGAAAGGTTTTATTTGTGCTTTGCATTTTAACTTTGTGTAACTTGTGTTGTTTCTTCCTACAGTATAGGTTTGGGACATTTCGAACTGTGATAATATGTGAATTACTCAACTATTCTGTTACATTCTTTAAAAGAAATAAATGTTTGTTGTTTGCATGAGACGTTATTAATTTACTTAGAATTAATTTATTCATGTCACATGATTTTTCTAGAATCAGTCAACATTTGGTTCTTGTATTCAAATCTTTAAGACTTTCATCTAGTTTTTCATTGGGTATGCATCCACGCGATGCAGTATATACAGGTGTTGACTGGTAGGCTTGAATTATGAATTATTAATGAACTTGAGAAGTCCTTATTCCAGATTCAGATTGCATAATGTCTCACTTTCCCCCAAATGTAAGTGAGTAGCCCTCTGACCAAACATGGCAAACAAGCTTACTACATGTAACTGGCCAAGGTTATTTTTTGTGGACTGATAGTCACCATCATTATACAGTGTGTAAGGTACACTATGATAATTAGATGGCTTCCTTTCCATGATTATAGCTTGCATATGTCAACAATAATGGCCATATCCCATTAAGAATCCAGTGCATTTTATACAAAATCCAACACCCCTGAATTTTCAGAACCCTTTCCTGAGGAGTTGACCCTGACTTTGGGATCTTTAGGCAATTGCAGGCAGTCAACAGAATGCTGGTATGTACTCTGTTGTTATCTTATCTCTCCATACTCTGTAATGCCATGGCTTGGTGGTCCCATTCGATATACGCCAACAGTTTGGTCCTTTGATGCTGTTACTAAATCTATTAAGAAAGTTATGTTAAGGAGAACAAAATAAAACCACAGTCAAACTAAGGAACGAGAGAGATTTACACTCTTACTGTGGATTTTTAAGTGAGGATGTGCCACTGGTACATCAAAGCCCTTACCCCTTTAAGCCCAATATCCCCCTACAAATTCTCCAGACTGATCTCCATAAATTTTCTTAAATTCTATACTGATGATGTGCCACTTGTGGCAGATCCAGGGGAGGGGAAGGCACCCCCCCCCCCACCCCCCCACAACTGCCCCCCTTATTTTTAGACCTAAAAAAATTTTTTGGGCTCCCCTTATCTAAGCGCCTCGATGACCAGGTCCCATCCCCCCCCGCCCCTTATCTCAAGGTCTGGATCCGGCACTGGCCACTACCTGTACTTAGATCTGGGTAGAGAGTAGTGACACATCATCAGTATAACAGAATTTCTATGCTCATTCCTGGCATCCTGAAATGTTGGTTATGTTCTATAAGGCTATGCACAATCACGTCTGCTGAGAATTAGAAGTACATTTAAAATGCATGTAGCTAAAGATACATTCATCATAAGGTGAAATATCAATGTCTTCCACAGCATCTGAGTGACAGAACAAATCCTCTACAAACTCATGATGATCAGGAAAACGTCGATATCTGTAAGAACAAATTATGAACAATCTTGATCAAATTCACAGAACAAATATATATATATATATATATAAATTTAAGGTTCATTTTGTACAAATATGTAAATGGCTTTGGAAGCAGAATTAAAGAAACCCGGCTCATGTTGTGTGTACACTTCAACATTGTTATAGCAACACACATACTGAAATTAATAGGGCTGAATTTTTTTGAAGGAAGTGACAGGTACATTAAAGTACATTATTAAAGTAAGATTTGAATTTAATTATTAAAAATAACAAGTTGTACCTACAGTCTAACCTCTGTTGATTGATAATTAAGCACTGACAGTAACATTAACAGATGTTCTGTTTTCAATGATTTACTGATAATTTTAGTAGTCCTGGCTAAAAAGAGGGGTGGCTACATAATAGGAGCTAAGTTTTAGACGTTTAACAGTAATTGACATCTGTTGATTTAAGAATAGTTGCAAATTAATATTGTTAACAGCTAGTCAAGAGATCACTAATGCCAGTTACCACAGAGTATGACTTACTTGCGAACAACTCCTCTGTCACAGGCAGTAAATAGTGTACTTCCATTAGAAGTGTACCTGAAAAACAAACTCTTCACGTCAAAAATATTATTTTCATACTTGGTCTTATCAACCAAATGACTTTATAACATCACTTTGACTCTTGATCAAGGAAATTCTTAAATTCATAAAATGTTCTCCATACTTGATTTTCCATAACTTTGGATCTTTCCCATGTTCTTTCATACGTTCTTGAACCCCAACTTCTGGGACAAAACTTGTCAAAAACTCCCCTCCAAACATAATGAGACCTAAACGACATTGCACAACAAGACAGGGAAAAAATCATCATTTCTGATTATTCTGAAATGCTTTACAAGGGATTATATTCTACCCACCATTCACCAGTCAGTCTCAGTGAAATTGTCCTTGTGAAGCGAGTTAATAATATTATTTTTGTTGAAATTCACATCGTGTGTGGATCGCACAGTGAGGCAGAAACACAAGTTGGCTTTATTATATTTTATATATCTTGACTTCTGGATGGTAGTTGCATTGACATCATCAACTGTGCATGACATTGAGTTTAAAGGTTTCCAGTTAGCAACATGACTTGCACTATTATTATGTTTTATTCATGAAAGGTGGATATGGATATGGTTATTTCATGGGCAAATACCTAAAAGATATTAATTTCACACAAGCGTTTAAGACTTGGTGACATATGGTGCAATAGGCAAGGAGATGACTTTAAAGGACTGGGGTTCGAATACCAGCAGAGGAAGTTTTTTACCTGGCTTTCTTTGGCCATTTTGTTTTGTTCTGCAATTTTTTTACCATATTTTTTTACCTATTGGCTGGCTTCAATTTATTATTCATATTGCTGCCCCATCACAGCTTTGTGAGGTGTTGCAATAAACGCATTATCTACTTTCTATGTGTGTGAATTGTTTAAATTCAGTTTGCATTATTTTCTTATCAGTCTAGTGAAGTAATCATCATTTTCTCTTGGATATAGGACCATGTTCTGTTAAACAGGTCAGTGGTTGTCATGCTTGTGAGAAGAATTTTGTAGTGTTTTGTTCTCAACATTATTGTTGACAAAAGTCTCAAGAAGCCTATATCCACAGTCTAAGTTTTCTGTATGTTACAATATTGTACAATAATTAATAATGGTAATAAGACTGATTAGGAGTCCATTATTCACTCTATGATTACAGGCTGAATTGGACCCAAGACACAAAGTTCTGTTAACAATTAATCATAACTATAACAAAAATTAATTAGTGATATTTTAGGATTTTTTTAAACTTACAACACAAGAGAGTTTGAGAGTTCTTTGGCTAAGCAGTTTAAAAAAAAAGCAATTAACTGTTCGTGCGTGTGATGGCACATACTGTCCAATTACAGGCATGACGTGTACTGTCCTAATAATACACTGTCCTGTAAAATATAAGTGCTGAAATCAGGACAGTTGATAGCCAATCAGAATTGAGAATTTTGTTATAGTTATATTATTATTATTATGTTATCATTCATAATATTATGTCTGTTCTTCATATTATATAAGGTCATTGCTATCTTACTGTAAAATCCATCATCAGCCATAGAACCGAAGGGTTCAGGAGTTGGTGCAGCCGTGTTTAGCATGGAGCCAAGTTCTGTATTCTGAAGAGTGCGGCCATCAACTGTAGACACCTAGAATATGAAATTTTGTCAACTGGATAACACAGTATTCAGCCAGGTCAGTGAGTTGGCCAGACATTAGTCAGTCAGCGAGTCTATCAGACAGTAAGCCAGAATGCCTTTATAGACAGTGATGTCAGTTAGTACTGTCAGTCAATAATGTAGCCAAATGCACATGAACTAGGGACAGGACTCTCATATAATAATAACGGGAATGTTTGCCAGAAAATAAGACTTAAACCCATAAAGGAGATCAATCTGGGCAATTGGCTTTGGCTTTATTTGACCTCTTAAGGACACCTTTCTTCACGAAAAAACGATGACATTTGTTATTTTTTTCTATTAGGAATTTCTTTATGCACAACCCAAGTGATATCTTTATGGGTAAAAATATTGTCTTTCCATCCTGAGGACCGTTTCTCGAAAGTCTCGGTAACTTTTCGGGCCCAAAATCAAATTTTCAAATCAAAATAAAGAAAAAGATTGCAGGTCCTGGCTTTATTAGACTACAAGACAATAGTAGTCCCCATTTTTTCCTCAGTGACAGTAGAGTGAGTGAAATGCGAGCACAAACGAAAATCACCCACACGAGAAAAGGCAACACATGGTGGGGAGAGTGAAAAATGAGGGATTACAGACAAAGCCTCATTTTTCTCTCTCCCCGCTGTGTGTCGCCTTTTCTCGCATGGGTGATTTTCATGCGCGCTCGTGTTTTGCTTGCTCTACTATCCCTGAGGAAAAATGGGGACTACCTGTAGTCTAGTCCTGGCTAGCAAACTACTCCATTGTTTAATCAAGCTAGATGCAAAACTATTGAAACCTCTATCTTGCATGTAAACAACAACAGCTTTACAGGCCCATTAATTATGGGGACTTTCAAGAAGCGGGCTCTTGAACACTCTAAGTGAGACCAAAATCTGCATTAATTTCCACCCTTTAGGGAGACGACGAGTACCCCCATCATATAATTTTATGAGAAAGTACTCCCCCCCGCTCACGATGGGAAATGCTCTCAGTCAGCCAGTCATACCAGTCAGTCAGGTCAGTCAGTCATTGCAGTTGGTCACTTAGTCATGCAGTCATTAAGTCACTCATTAATTTATGCAGTCTGATCGAGTTAGTTGACTGAAGTCAAGTCAGTCTACAGTCTTTCAATTAAGACAGCTATCAGCTAGCCAGCCAGACACTCTGGTTGAGTCCGTCATTCAGTCATGAAATGAGATTATCAGCCAGTGAGAGAGTCTACTTATTCATACAGGTAGCAATAAGGTAATGATTCAGACATCCTACCATACACTGTACATGTCAGGACTGTCATTAAGTTTTTCAGCGGCCATGGCAAAAAATGAAGATTCACCCGTAATATCTTCAAAAATTTTTTGTGTCACCTTAAGCTTTATACTTTTATCACCCGTAACATCAAGTGAGCTTTAAGCCGTAACAGGTGTTATGGGTTACGGCGTTTAATGACACCGTACCTGTGGGACTGCCACACAGCATGCTGAAAAGCTGGGTGGAACAACATAGAGTGGGAAATGTGTAGAGAATGAGGGGATCATTAAAGGAGGTACGTCACAAGAATTAAGACAGAATCCATCAGGAAATTGAGTAATTTTAATCTTCAGTGGACAAAAATCTTGTACCAGAATAATTTAAAGAATGTCATATTCTTTTTTACATTTTTTCAAGGGCTATAAATGTAATTAATCACCTGTAACAACACCAAAGAAAATTTCTTTTGGGAGCCTGAGAAAATAAATGTCAAATTTCACAAGAATTGTGAAAACACAGGTAAAATTCTGAAAATTTCATGTGTAAGATGCCATTTTGTGAAATATGATATTTATCTTCTTGGGCTCTCATAAGAAATTTTCTTTGGCGATATAACAGATAACTAAGTACATCTATAGCCCTTGGAAAATGTAAAAAACAATGCGATATTGTTTTAATTATTCTGGTACAAGATTTTTGTGCACTGAAAATCAAAATTACTCAATTTCCTGATGGATTCCGTCTTAATTGCTGTGCTGTTCAAACTCATTACTCAGTACTCCAGTACAGTAACAGGTATGAAGAAGAAATCAGACAAAATCAATTTCATCAGGGGTGATGATATCCATAATAATTTTTTATAAAATAGGTGATTTTCACATGAATAACATTAAAACTTGAAAAGGTTTGGCCCAACTTTTTCAAGATTTAATCCATACCCATCATTGCCATCGGTGCTCTACAGAAAACAGGAAAATGGTTCTAATTCCTGGATAAAGGCTTATAAGCAACAACATGGACCATTATTTTTGGAATTCAATTGACATATCGTTCCCGACATTTTCTATTTTTTGATTATTATTATTTTTATTGGGATTCCCTGAGGGAGCCTCTGCGGAGGAGAGAGGTATTGACATCGCTCCTTTAACTCCCCAAATAAATAAAATTATTGCCTGTCATTGATTCCATAAAATACCTTAGCCGTTCCATCAATTGCCACAGTTAACAATGCATTTTGCCCCTTGCACCATGGCCAGCTTTCATGAAGGAACATCACATCACGAATAACATTACTATGTAACTGAAAAAAAAAAGATTCAGCTGTGAGATGCTTGTAAAGCTGCAAAACCACAGGTAGAACATAATGTTAAGTATATATATAATTACCACTTAGGGTGGGTTTGATTGATCTTATTCCAGAATAAGATACAGCGTATGCAAAAGTTTTGTTACAAATAATATTTATACAGTGAATTTTGAACCATTTATAAATTTAAACTTATCATAAATCACAATATTCTTTTTAATTTTTCAAGTAGTTTTGTAAATATTCCAATATAATGAAGTCAAAACTATTGACTTCTAGAGTTAATGAAGAAAGGCAGAAAGAAATGAATGGATGATTAAATAAACAAATGAGATTACCAAAGATGTATGTCTCTCTTCAATTTTAAAACTACAGTGTAACAATGCGTTCAGCCATGTAAGTATCAGTATCATTGTGGGATCTGATGTCAGCTTTAAGGGTGTCTCAAACCAGTTCACAATTTGATTTCATCTCCTCTTACTGCCCCCCCCCCAATGAATGAATCCCTAACACTGAGTTCCTGATTTTGGTCCGTTTTATTTTTGCATTTTACCTTCCTGTGCATTGCTTACGGTACATCTCAGAGTAATTAAAAAAAAAGGCTTAACAGCATTAAATTTCTGTAAACTTGGGTTGCATTCTATATTTAGCCAAGAAAACCTAATGCTTAAAATTTGGCTTAATCCTAGCTGGGATAAACTTAACCATCTTCTGAGGAACCAGATGCCCAGGGGTTTGTTTTGTTTAATGGATACAACAAGAAGAACAACTCACATCATAAATGAAATCCAAGGGAAGGGGCATCCTGAAGTCAAACATGGATAAGCCCCGCCCATTGACACAGCAACAGGCAGCAATGTTAGGACCAGTATGAGCATCTACTGCTAATCCTGTCCGATCGGGGCCATTGTAAACACCTTAAAATTAAAAAAAATGTATAATATCAATTGAGTCAAGTACTCATAAGTCTGGAACTTTCAGACATAATCTGACCTGGGTAAAAAAGGTTTTTTCTTGCATGTAGTGAGTGCCATCAGCAAGCTAGATGCTTTCGGGTGGCAACAAGTTCAAGCTACAATTGGTGATGCCAACCAAAACAATGTGTGGGTCTCCAATAGAAACCGCGGTGTAACTGCAAACGGCCTTATCCTTCACTTTGAAATAATCTATTTTGTGATTTCAAATGAACTTTTCTAGAGGGGTTGGGTTTTTGTATGGGGCTAAACGTAATTTAGGCGAGGTTAAACGTGAGACAATGTTGGCAGTGGTCTCCTTCACTAATTGTATGTGGGGCGGTCTTGGGGTTTAGCAGGGCCTTTGTGATTTTACAGTGCTTTTACAGGAGTCAATCATTTTGCTCTTGTTGCTTTTATGTGCAGTATTTCTAGTTGTTTTTTCCCCCAACCCTCTGTCCTCTCTGGATGCTGTTTTGGTAAGTATCTGTGCCTCTTTCCACTGAGGTTCTCAGTGTGACAGTGCCTGGTGGGTGCCGCTCTCAGGGTTGTCATGATTACCTTCTAAGATCGCTTGCGGCCCCCTTCCGCTTCTTCAGGTAATTTTTGTTATTTTAAACTTGAGATTACTTCAGTCTATGCAATTTTACCCTTGATAACTCAAACCCTTTTTTAAGCACAATAATAAGTCAAAATAAAGTCATCAACCGCAGTTCAAAACATTGAATTCTTTTGAAACCAACCATGCATTCTTTGTCTTTACTTCTTTAGTTGAATCCAATTTAAATACAATGTACTGTTCTGATTAATCAAGCTTTGTTGTTTAATTCCTTTTTCAAAATAGCAATTATTATATACATATCTTGCTACCCTTGAAGTGAAGTGTGCATGAGTTTGCATTCCTCCCTTACCTCATTTCGTTTTTTGTAGTATTTGCTTTGAACTCCCGCTAACTCAAACTGCTGATAAGTCAAACTTGTTTCGATTTTCCAAGAAGGTTACAGTTATTGGGATACGACTGCATTATTTATTTTAGAAATTATTGTTCTACTTACAGTTATCATAAGAAAGCACCTGCTCCCCTGTTTCTGCATCTAAAACAATCAATCTTCTGGCATTTGTTGATGCTATAATCTACAACAACAAACAACTGTCAAAAAGTAACTATCAACAAGCTAAAAAAATTAATATGCAGTAGAATGGAATATGATCATCCGGGTGAGTAAAGTCCTGAATACAGGTGTAGGACTGTTCTTTTCATTTTTGACCGCCATTAAATCCTGACATATACATTTATTATATAAATATAATTGGCTGGCTGGTGATCATGAATCTTGTGTTCTGATTGGCTACCTGAGTGACATGATAAGCCCACATCCACTCAAGGACTGATACTGTCTTTAATGGCCATACATTTTTGTATAATATGCCGGGTGAACCTGGTTAATAGGGAAACCAGGGAGACATGCCACAGTATCCACAATATAAATAAAGATATCGTAAAAAGATGTTAAAGAGTAAAAAATTGAAAATGGTTAAAAATAGCTACCTAATTATTACAGTGACCTTTAAAATGTCCTTGTAATACTAAAATGTTTACGACTTGCATTGACGTTTAAGAATCTCTCGAGAAAATGTTTCTTAAAGTTACTTTCTGACATTTGTCATGTTTTTAAGCTTGTCAGCTAGACGATTCCAAAGGCGAATTGCACTCGCATTCGCAGACCCGCGTTTGACAGGCATTTCGGTGCAGCCAAGGCATTATTAGAAGACAATTGAGTGCTATAGCTATCATGCCACAATTTCTTGGATGCATAGATAACCAAATTTCCTTACTCCTGGTGCTCTGCTATTTGGGTGTCAGTATTAAGCCGCATCTTGGAAAAAACGCCCGGAACATGTTTTATTGACTATAACAAGTGCATTTTAAAGAAACCTTAGGATTGCTTGACACTTTTTTGACAGTATTTTTTTAATTAGAAGCAGGACAATAGAATCTGTGGCTTAACTTTGTACCAATGCTTTTATTGTGATTCCACCAGGTGGACTATTAAATATTAGATAGAAACTTTGAAAGGCCATTTGTCATTTCTGTTGGGTTTTTCGCAAGATTTTCAGTCATAGAGATATCGAGAACGTAGATAACCAGTGTCTCTCAATTACCAAGCGGCCTATACTTTTATATTCTAGCTGTCTACTTTGAAACTTAATGAAAACCCTGAACATCATCGCTCTTACCACATGTAACTGACAACCCAGTTTGAATTCTAACCTTTGTCAGTGATTTTAACAGCTGCCCATGCACACGATGCTACTTTAGCAAATCAAAAATGACCTCTTCCAGCTTAGTTACCATGCACCCAGCCAACCACGCATTTGCTGTACAAACATTTAGAAAGTTTAAACAGTGTTCACACCAAGCCGGTCAAATTTGAAAGGCTCCGCAACTGAATTTTCGTATGGTTATGGTGGTTGCGAGGGGATGGAACACCTTGCCTAGTTCCTATAGGCCTCATTATTTCCGCGCGGCCAAAGCATTTCGGGTCACGTGGTCCAATGTGTTTCCCGCCCGTTTGCCTCGGATACATCACCGAAGTGAATTGACTGAGAGGGACTGGGAAAATGCTGTACAGGAACTAGTCAATGGAACACCTAAACATAAGGATTTTCAACCAGTCAAAAATTCATCCAGTGCTCTATGAACACAACCTAGGGCTTAAATTACTACAATAAACTGCCAGTTAAAACACGAAAAAGAGCAGCGATCATAAGTAGCCAATGAAACAGCCGACATTTAGGGACACCACCACTGGTTTCCCCGCAAAATGACACAGGAATACCATAGTGATGACACATCACTATACCCAGATCTGGGTAGTGCTTCTGATTGGTTGTACTGCATGGGAAATTTGCGTCAGCCTATCAGAAGCACTATGCCCAGATCTAGGCAGTGATACATCATCAGTATATACCTGCCAACTTTTTCTGAGATATAAGCGTGAGATTTTTATCCTAGGAGTGCTGGGATTTTTGAAGACGACACCATCATTTCCGAAGATTCCCAAAGAAGTCCGAAGTCTTCCGAAGAAGTCCGAAGTCTTCCGAAGACGTCCGAAGTCTGCCGAAGGCGAAGTTATCGAGAAAACGCTTATCCACAAAATCAGAGATCGTGAGGAAGGTATTGTCATTTATTCATTTTACACATGGTTTTTGTTCCTTACATGGGTCTGAGGTAACATATTTTTGGAAATTGTGTCAAGCAAGACGGCAACAAATCACATTTTTCAATCAGGCGTGAGAAATTGGCCCGCAAGCGTGAGCCGGCGTGAGATTGAAGTTTTCAACCCGCAGGCGTGAGACTCACGCCTAAGGCATGAGAGTTGGTAGGTATATCAGTATGGGATTTCTGTGCTTGTTTCTAAGACATCATTTCACGGGGAAACCAGCTCTTCTAAATGTCAGCTGTTTTCTCTGGCTACAATCATAAGTAACAAGACTTACTTTTCTTCCATCGCTTGTAAACCGAACAGCTTTTATATTCCGGGCTAAACTTAATGTTGTCACCTGTTACAGTCACAATAAAATTTATGTCAAAACAATCATTTGATAATACAGAAATTTACAAGTAAAGTTTCTCCATCTTTTTAAACAACTGGAATCTGGAATTTTTTTTATTGTTGCACCGAACGGACTTTATAAATGTAGCTTATACTGCGTCTCTATTTCCCAGAGTGAAACTGACGCAACTTTACTTTTGTTGGTGTTAAGTACACTGAAGTATACACGAAACAGCCTTACCGGATAGCTTCCTAAAAGATGGCACTTCTTTGCACTGTAAACATTTACTCTTCCATCATAAGCACCAGAGCAAAACAGGTACCGATCCTAAGGATAAAGGATAACGCAAGCTCACAAATAATAGTTTCATTCTACAAAATATTAGCCACATAAACCACATTTTTTAATGATTCAGCAAAATAAGCTATTTATGAATTATCATCAGTATTAAGCTTGAGATTGTGATGAATGAAAGCAGACAAATTGAATCGAGGTAGAAGGTCATAATTCAGTATTAAAAACATAGAACTCACCACGGGTGAAAACGCAACACCACAGACACATCCTTCGTGAAATTTTAAAAATTCTACTTTAGGGCTAAAATTCATCGCCAAATTACCAAACGAATCCTTCCGCTGTGTTGTCGGTACGATATGGCTGGGAGATCAATGACCTTGAGAAGTATGCCAGACCTAGTCATTTAGCGCAAATAATGATTTAAAAACATCATTGAGAGAAAATTCTTCGATTTTATCATCATTTTTTGAATATGATATTTTCATGCAGTACACAATTCGCTCGCATCAGCGAAACCAAACAGGATAAAAGTCGAAAGTTTTATGCAAAACTTCTGAAAGAAAACGATCATGCAACCAAATGCAACCTCGTTTGCGATAACAGCCAAATATGGGTAAAAGATTTGTCACGCAATACTTTCGCTCTACAAAAAGACAAATCTAAGGGAGGAGTCGGGAGTTGAAAACTATGCAGTAAGTTCTGCTTGGAGGATGATCGGTTTAGGTAGACGAGCAGCAATGGAATTCTACCTTGGAAAACTTTGTTATTGGATGTTTTTCATTTGCAGCGTATTTTTCAACCAAGGCAAGGATGAAGATTTTACTTTTTATGCCTAACGTTAATTATGATATGCATAATGCACAAGTGTACCATTTTAATTGATCTTCAGTTCATATTAATTTTGCACGCATCTCATATTTGGTCTTCTTAAAACCAAACACAATACCTTTGCTTTTGATTTAAAATTGTTTTGTTACATATAAACCTACTAGAACGAAACCTGTATTCCGTTTCATTCACTGAAGTATTGTTTATCTTGTGCCGATCGTGCTTGGTACGAAATATTTTTCCCACTTGCACTTGCACTTTCGTGCGGAAGTCCAGAATTTTCCGATAACGTTTAATGGAAGTTTCTTATTTTACAGAGATGCCAACTTCTAGGCCGGGTTGTTCAAAGCTGGGTTAAGATAACCCAGGGTTAGTGCGAAATAATTAATTTGAATAATTCAAATGAATTTCAGATATGAAAGCTTAAAACATAAATTCACTTTTAATTCTTTTTGTCAACAAGTTGATGATCGGATTTTTTTCACGATAACAGAGAAAATTATCTGAGAAAATTCTTTTGAACAAAAGAAAAAGAAACCCGGGTTAAACTTAATCCTGGGTTGAGCGCTAATCGGCCTTCAAACAACTGGGTCCTGGAGGTCTAAACTCTGGATACACTCTCTAGTTCATTACCCTCCCCCCCATCCCCGAATTTCAATGGACTCCCCCCTGACATATAATGATATTGACCCAGCCCCCAATGGGAATGGCTTAGAGCATTACATGAAGTCTTACATGAGTGACATACTATCAAAATTAGAAATCGTCATTTTTATGCCAAAATAATTGTCATTGAGTAAATAAGTGCAAAAAGGCCCCAGAAACCATACTACAAATAAAAAAATTTCAAATTTTGAGGGGAAAATGGGCTAAATCTCAAACTAAAGCAAAGAAAGGGGCAAAAGATAATTTTTTCCAGGAGATTATGAATTTGTCATGTTCAAAGCTGTATATGGGATGGGTGGTGGTGGGGGAAGGGGGGTGGAAGGAGAGGGGGCGTCTCATTTGGGGAGGGTAAGGGTGCGTTCCTTTCAGCGAATCCAAAAACTGATTTTGATCCTAGATTTGCCAGATTTGGTGGTCGAAAGGAACGTGAAATCCAAAGTTGATTTGTATCCTTGGTGACCTTTCGCAAAAGCGTGCAATATGCATAACAGCCTCTCAAGAAATGACGTGTTTTCTATTGTTAAACAAATGCGGAATTTTGTGGTGGAGCTTAAACCCATCAAGAAAGAAGTGCATGAATCCTTTTTCGAAAAGGATTCTGTGGATCAAAAATCTGAATTTGGATAAGCCATAAGGAATCGAGTGTCAAATCTTTTTTAAGATCTAAAATCAGTTTTTGGATTCACTGAAATTAAAGGATGCCAATTCCCAGATGAGCCTTCACAGCATTTTCACACAGCGTATTCCCAGAACCTGCCTTTTTTTACACTAGAAATAAGACATCAAGGTCATTTAAATGTCTAGAATGAAACCTCTTGTAATCAACCACTTATCCAACACCGGACTAAAAAAAAACTTAATTTCATCTTGTCGTTTGGGTAAACAGCTCACACATTTTGATTGCCTGGGTCACTTCTTGCTCATCTCAGTTAATGATTTTGTTAGAGGATGACTTACTTTGATCAATCCTTGCCTATTGTACATTAGTAAGCTTTAAAGTTACTTGCTTAGCAAGAAAATCCACTTGTCTACTTGTCATGCAATACATCAAGAATTTTCCCTATCAAAGCACTTATGCTTATAAAAGGGTAGCCTAAGAAAACAGTTGACATTTCGCAATGCCACCCCTCAGGTTTCCCCGCAGAAAGAGAAATGAGCACAGAATTTCCATGATAATGTTTGTCTTGTCACTATCCAAATATGGGTAGTGTTTCTTATTATTATTGGTTGAAGCAAATTTCCCTTGCGGCACGACCAATCAGAAGCACTAGCCATATCATGGTTAAGTGACATGTCACCATTGGGAAATTTCTGTTCTCGTTTCTCAGACATCATCTCTATGGGAAACCAGTGGCAGTGTTGCAAAATGTTGGCTGTTTTCTCAAGAAAATAAAAGGGCAGTCACTTTGGGGTGGGGGCTGTAGGGATTTCCCCCGGCTGCCATGGGCACGACCTGTGTCTTCTTTCATGGGAAACAAACTGTAGTATATTTATTGCATATACCCGCCAACATGAAATCTTAAACAGGGCTAACTTGTAAGTAACCATGCATGCACAACTGTTATAAACAGCCATGCGTAAAATCGTCCACATTTGTGTAAAAATTATTTTTGCGTCATTGAAAGACCTGAGTAGAACCGTCTGTAATATTGATGGGTGGCTTTAGTGTGGAGGTGTACTCTTTATAAGCCGATCAGGCTTAGGTTCGAATGTATGGAGTTAATGAAAGGTCATTGGTTTTTTGTTTGATGATCCACATGTTAGAACCTGAACATGGTAACATTTGTAGAAGTAATAAAAAACTGATCAGAAATATTTTGATGTGGACTTGATTTTGCAGTGTTCTCCGCATTACAGCTCAATGACTGTACAGAGTTTAAAGTGATTGATCCTAAGGACTATGACAGGGATATCAGTTCTATAAATGACATGACAAAACGACCACTTGGCTACATGTTTGGCATTGCAAAATATCGTGGTGTGCAGACTGTAAATCTAAAGAACCCTTGTGCTTATTTGACAAATTTAACATCAAGACATGTGGAAGTCATGGTAAGGTAACTAAAACAGATATACTATAAAAGATGATGTTCTAGATAACCTGAGATAACCGTCAGTCATGATTTTGTGGCTGCACCAATTGTTTCCCCATGTAATGAGCTCGTAGGAAGGACCGCAGAAATTCTATACTGATGATGCATCACTTCCTAGATCTAGGTACAGTGTAGTGCTTCTGATTGGATGAAGTAAATTTTCAACCAATCAGAAGCTGCTACCAAGATGCATCATAAGTGTGGATCATGGCGTCCTTCCAGAGGTGGCATTATGAAATGTCAGCTGTTTTCATCAGGCTATGTTGCAGACTGCCTGGTTTTCGATAGTCTTTTTTATATATGTGCATAAAAAACCATATAACCAGTGCTATCCAGCTGTTAATAGGAACCTACAATCCTAATCCCTAGGGCCCATTTCCTGAAAAGCAGGTTACCACTAATCCAGGGTTAAAATAATATTGTGTTCCGTTTTTGTATTATACCTTCCTATCCATTGCTTGGAGTAACATTTTGTGCTATCATTACTGTACCTTGGAGTACATGCTGAACAGTATTTTGCCAACTCGAGTTGCATGTTCTTAGACAAGAAAAACTTACTTAAAATTATTTTGGCTTAATCCTGGGTTAAACTTAACCATCTTTCAAGGAACCAGGCCCTGGATGCTATTACTCATGCATAGCACATATGTAGCCAATTTTGAAAATTCGTTTGGACCTCCACCAAGAATTATGAATGGAATGCACAGAGTGCATGCAAACTGATCACATGCCCTAATGGACCTTTTTCACTCGTAATATCTGATCATCTGATCATCTGTGTTTTGACTATCTATCACTTGAAACTTGTGCAAAGGAGAGTGATGGAACAAGAATGTTTCCCTTAATCGTTGATCATTGTCACCTACATTTCATAACCTTTGGTTATTACTAGTAAAAAAGTAAGTTAAGATAGTGAGTCCATAATTTGGATAGCCTGATGTTTTATATATCTGCCAGTATGAGCATCTTGATTAATTTCCTTTCCCTTCCTAATTCTATTCGTCCCTTTTCCCAACTTCCCTGTTTTCTATTTTCCTTTAAGCCTCTTCCCCTGTTTTCTTTTCCTTTTTCTCTTTCCTTCCAACCCACTATTTTCTGTCTTCGAACTCTGTTCTCCCTATCGACCCCTTAATACAGAGATACCAACCTCTGTGGAGATCTCTTTCTTTTGCACTAATGCCCCCCCCCCCGAATGTCAATGCATCCCCCTCCCCCCACCCACAAATTGACGTATGGCTTAATTAGGACATTATAATAATGAAGTCTTACTTGATGTACATACTATCAAAATTTGCTTTCATCATTTTAATGACCAAATAATCTTTGTCAGTGACTAAAATTAATACATGCAAGAATATCCCAGAAACCATACAATGAATTAAAAAGTGCGAATTTTGAGAATGAAATGGGCTAAATTCCAAACTAAAGCACAGAAAAGCTCACAAGTCCATTTTATCCACGAGATTTGGTGACTGGTACAGGAGAGCGGGAGATCAGTGCCATATCCAGGAGACTTCCTGATAATCTGGGAGAGTAATTGGCATTTATGTTAATAAGACTAAACCCTTCCCAGTAAAATACATTTTTATTATTATATTTATTCTCTTAATTTATATTTTCTCTATTTGTTTATATTTTTAGTTTCAAACCCTTGTTGCTGGAAAACCTCTCTGGTAAGAATGACTACTGCATGTACTTATACTTTTCCATAAGAATTGGAGTAGAATTTTGAATCCTTGACCAGATGGCTCCAATAGGCCATTTGCACTAAGAGGTCATGTGACATCGTTTTTATGAAAATGAAAGTTATATGATTTTGCCTTCGAAAAACGATTAGTGGGTCATGTCTTAAACAAAAGAATAGACTGTGATTTGGTTTTTCAAACCCGCACGATTTTCTTAAAATGAGTAAGTTCGTAGCCGGTCACGTGACCAAAATGTGGTTTTTGAAATTAGGAATTACATCTTTCAGAACACAAATTCTGCGCTTAAAGTTCAAGGGAAATGTTGAACAGATGATGTGGTAATATTTACAGCACATCTGAGCGTAACTATCAAACGTTTAACAAGATATAAGCAAAAAGTAGTTTTGGCCGCCATGTTGGAGGGCAAGAGTATGCCCTCCAACATGGCGGCCAATACAAATCATACTGCTTTGTTGAAAAATCAAAGTGCCATAAAATATCTCCCTTAAATGCTTTTCCTCTCAAATTTCGGGTGTAAGATAATTTTTATGTGTTCTGTCAATTTTTGGCATCAGCAAGATTCCAACTCATCATTTTAAGGAAGCATTGGTCACGTGACCTCTTAGTGCAACTGGCCTATCAAGGAATGCTTGACCAGGATAGAAAAAAAAAAATTTGAACCTCTCTAGATGGGTACTGATGTCGTTTTTATCAAGTGTTTTCCATTAAATGTAACTGTTTTCCTTGGTAATTTAATAGACAAAAACTCTGAAATGTGCAGCACACTTTTTGGTATATTTCTTTGCTGTCATTACATAATTAATGGCAATGCAATCATCTCTTTAATCTCTATAATAAAGGTCTTTGTTTCATCATTACCAATCGTCGCAACTTTGATTTTGTTGGAAATACCCATCAAGAGTGTCACATTTCAAAATTTCATGTAATATATTAAGTATGACATGCAGTGTTTCATCACCAGATGAAACACTGAAAAGCATAACTGCCAACCTCCTGAGATCTAAAATCTGGAGACTCTCTATTTTGCACTGCACCCCCCCCCCCACCCTAGCCACGAATATCAACAGCACCAACACCCCAGCCCACCCCTGGTTTGCTACCCACTGTCTATCCTTGCCAATCATCCAGTTGATCAGCCAATTCTCAGTTCTCGTTGGTTTCTACTAATCTTTGATAGACTATTGACAATATAATGCGTGTTATTATTTTTACTTTCAGTGTAAGAGATAATGCTCCTAATCCCAAAATAGCTTGTGGTGCGGTGAGTGATTGCCGAACTTGTAAACTTTTGTACTAGATACATGGATTAATAGCTGTGCGAGCAAGTTCCCTCTGCTTGGGCTTTCTGTCAGATACCCGACAACTCCTAGGCATTAGGACAATTATTTTCTCATGCCTGACTCACCAATCCAGAAAAATCATGATTGTTCTTTAACACATGATTAATAATGAAAATTCAATTCAACTTCCACAAAAACATTCCAAAAAGGCGCTTAATGCTGACTTAACTGGTTCAAAACACGCTGAAGTTGTTACCTTTTAAATGACTTTGGAGGTGCTCTAATGTCGTCGGAACATCTTCGGACGTTTTCGGTAAAGTTCAGAATTCTTCAGAAAATGGTCGGAAATCTTAGGAAGTCACCGGGACGTTTTCGGAAATCCCAGTCATGACAAGACTAAAAGCTCACGCGTTTGACTCAGAAATAGTTGGCACGTATACTTTCAACTTGTAGTGTCACTGAGTCAAGGGAACCTTGTTGCAGGTGAATGTAGCAGAACTAACTGAGGCCTGATTGATTGAATGACTACCAAGTCACTGTACAAGCTGTGGGCTGTTTTGTTAGCAGGTTTTTGCTTTGATATGTGAATTATTATCTCCCTTTACTCTAGTTGAGGTGATAGAGTTTTCAGGAGTTGAGCCCAACTCGTTTTATTCATCCCTATCCACCTATACTACGAGTAGTCTCTCATTTTCCCCCAGGGATATTACAGAAAGGCGAGACCCAGCGGGGAGAGAGAAAAATGAGGCTTTGTCTGTAGTCCCTCATTGTTCTCTCTCCCCGCCGCGTCTCGCCGTTCTCGCGTGGGGTGATTTTCACGCGCGCTCGCGTTTCGTTCGATCTGCTATCTACTACTACTCGTAGTCTACTATCCACCAAAAGCTAACACTGGGCAAATGGTGTTAATGATAGCCTGCATAGCTGGCGGTTTTGTTGAGGAGGGGCAACGATGAACGGCAAGAGATATAGTTGGCTAAATGTCCAGCTTGGATATAGTGGCTTACCGTCTTTTGTATCTTGTCTCATTTGAAGGGTGCACAAAATACCAATTGTTGGAATCCGTCTCAAGACACTGTGATTTATGAATTTTATTGTGATACTGGAAAAGGATGCGACACTGATGTGCAGTTTTGGTATCGACTAACACCAAGCCCTGTGGGAATCAGTGAGTGGAAAACACTTCATTTAGTTGATGACAATAAGCAATTACAGTTGAAAGACTAGTTGAACCTCCATAAAGCGGTTCTGACCTCGGGATACCGGTAAGTGGCCGGTTAATGGAGGTTAGCCACTCAGTAGCGGTTCGTCATAAATTTATTAGCATAACATGAGCCAGAGTATAATCTTTAGCAGAGTCATCTCGTTACACACGAAGGGAGCGGCTTTTCTTATCCACAATCGGTCGTCACTTCAAATCTCGGACTGTATTTCCCTTCATCATATTCTTGAAATTAAGCCAAACTAGGTGTATCAAGTGCTTTATGCCGCCTAATAGAGGTGACGACAATGGGAGAACTCTCGTTGCCATGCGCAGAAGGTGTCCGCGGCCGCTTAGTAGAGGTGGACGCATCTCATTTCTTTTCTACATATATTTCGGGACTTTGATTACTGGTCGCTTGATAGAGGCCGCTTAATTGAGGTTCAACTGTATTTAATGAGAATGAATATGACATGAAGAATTTCAGCAGATTTGGGCGGCTGTTTTGGCTTTGCGCCAAGCGATGAGAGCGTACGACTTTCAATCCGGAGGTCCCGAGTTCATTCCAGCCCTGACCGCCAGATGGACGATTTTTTCTCGGTAGTCCTGCCTGAGTCCAACCGGTTTGCTATAGCCTGGGTTGCAGACACTCTGAACGTTCTGTTTATAATGGACTACGCGATACGTGTACCGCCTTCAACGTAGGGTACTGATTTTACTTCGACCAATTAGGATTCTTAGGCTGTCGTAAACTGCCGCCTTTATGCCCTGGGCTTATAAGTCTTCGTAAGGGAATTTAAGAGGGCACTTATAAAAGCGATTCGAATCAAACTTTAGCAGTGCTGATCAAAGTGTGTTTTGCAATTCCTGGTTTTAAATAGAGCGATTTTCGTGTGACGTTGAAAAATGGTTTCGGTAAGTGATCGTTATTTATTAATTTGTTATTAATTACTAATTTGTTTTATCATCCAGTGGATGAAAAGATCAAAGGATGGACTCTTTGTTTTCCCGCCAAAGAAAACCCTAATATGGAGAAGTCATTGTTCGATTAACCAATCGTGTTGCAGTATGACGTCAAAGCGAAGTATCGATTGGTTTCTAGAAAGTTCTTCGGGCGTGAAGTTTTTTCAGCCGAGCGTTCGGGCGTTTGTATCCGTTCGACAAACCAATCAAATCGCTCTATCTCCGTTCGTTTGTTGTTTCTGTTTTGTTGACGCGTTTTCATTTCAAAGTCATGCGAAAATCGCTCTAAAGCTTTAAAACGTTACAATAAATCAAATTCAGAAGGGGTAGGAGTTAAAAGGGGACCTATGTCTGGGGGGCTTTTGAACATTATCGGATTTCTTTTTTTTGTTGTTTGCAGGAACAGTCAAACTCCGTTAATACGGACACTGATGGGGCCATAGAAAATGTTCGTATTAAGCGGGTTGAAATTAGAAAAAGTGTAAGGGACTTTGCAAACAGTCCGTGATGATGAGGTGTCCGTATCGCGGGGTTTGACCGGGGTGGGGCTTACGGTATGTTCATTATGTATCGGATAGCTCTTGTGCAAACACGAAAACCAAAATCTTGCCAAATTTTCTTCTAGGAAGTTAATTGCATTGATAATTTGGAAGTTACTGAAAACCTTTTTTCAATGATATTTTGCAGGTGATGTCGATCAATGGTGCAATGACCGTAACAGTATGTTCCCTATCGATTTAATGACCGCCCCTCCACCAGTAGTAAAGAAGACCACTGTTAAGAGTGTCGCGTCTGGTACCCTCTCATGCAATATTTGTCTTGTATTACTCCTATGTTTTCTACCATTGCTATACACATCTTCTCTCTAGCACGTCTGAAGACACGACTATTTTGGCGACAGAAAGTCTTTCATTTTGAACCCAAGATAGGATACTGGTTTTAAAAATTTAGATATTTTAATCACGAGAGAAATCAAAGGTACCCCAAGCTTGGAAGTTTAGCGCGGTCGTATTTTTGACCTTTGGGTTAGCCTGTTCCAGGTTCCAAGATGGTGGGGAAAACGGATCGAATAAAAAAAGGCGCGAAAACCACGTGAGGACTTGAGAGAGAGGGTTGCTCGCTCGATTTTTCGCTGTTTGCGCGCTTTTTTCGCTCATCTACACTGACTGAGACCCTGGCACAGGTTACCTTTGCGTTGACGATATTTATTTCAGTACGAAAAATAAACGCCTCTTTTGAGTTCAAAAGTTTATAGAACTAAAACGGAGGAGTAAAGTTATTGGAACATGTCTTGGAACGTTCCGAAGCGATTTTAGCCAGTAAGGTATTTACTCGAACAAGCGCCGCCCTCAAATAAGCGCTTTAGTTGGAACAAAAAATAATAAGCACCGATATAATCGAAGTCAAAAGACGTCAATTCTGTTAGTTTTATACGGAAAAAATAATACCTTTAGTTAAAACAATTTTATTTTTTGTGGCGTCCAACTTTCAAATAAACTTCATTATGTTTTCAGTTTTGGAATCAAGGACCAACGTTACAGAATAGAAAGAACGGATTCTAATAAAGAATCCAATCAGCTATAAATTAAAATATCAAGCAAAAGAAGCAAGGCTGATTTTACAGTCGGGAATATAGATTTTTTGTTACCTCTTATTGTGTACTCTTTTTTTGCACTTATGTCCGAGTTCGAACGCAGCTGCAAATTTTGCGATCTTTTTTGTGCTTGCGAACAATCGCAAAGCCAGTTGCAAATTTTGCAAAATTTGGGAAAATTGTTACCTATGATTTTTCTCAGTTCTTTGTCATGTTAATGTCTGTCACTCAAGTCGAACCCAGTTGCGGAGTTTTTCAAATTTGCGAAAATCGCAAGGTTGACAATTCTTCGCAATCCCTTGTCGTACGCCCTTGTGCTATGTCCTAGTGTAAACCAGCCTAGTGTTACAAGCTTGACAGTCAGTTTCAGGTCAGTACACAGTACTACAGCACTAAACTTTTGAGCTTGGGGTACCTGTACGAGTTTCTCCATAAGTCATTTTGAAAATTATCAAACTGTAACCCGCGGTTATATCCATTTTTTTTCTTTTTTGTTTTCTTTTTCCAAAAAGCAGGCTTGCGACAGTATGTTGGTATTGTTAACACCCGATCGCTCAAATCGCTCACTTTCTGTTCTCTAAATATCGTGTTTTTTCATTTCTTATTTTCTACGTGCGTCGTTTCCAGAGTTTGCTTTCTCGGGTGGAAAGTTATTTTTTTTAAAAAATTCCGTTTATTTTTTGAGTTTGATAATGTGTTTTTCCTTGAGATTACGATTTTTTTAGTTTTATACATTACAAAAATTATATTACACAAAAGAAGATAGAGAATCTTGATTAGGAAACAGTGGTACCCAACGACGGCTTTTCTCAAATGCTTTAAAAACCTGTTTTAGGCTATCTAAAGCGGTGCTTTAAAGCTTCGCAAATGCTCCGTAAGCGATCAAATTTTTATCTGTCTGGTCACCCTAAGGTAACTTAAGCCATTGTTCTTGTTATTTTCAAAAAGTGAGAAGAGAGGAAAGAAAAATTTACGAAAACGAGCGATTTATTCCGCCCTTATTTTCGAAACCGAATGGTTTGTTTCTCGCGAATGATACTAAATCTGAAGATTGAAATTTAAAACAAAAAGCACCGAAAATTGGAGGAAGCTAATAGAAAATCGGCAAATATTGGAGAATGGAACAGTCATCGAAGACGTCTTGGTTGCTCTTGAGCTAGAGAAATTTGTAGAGTTATATTTTCTTCTTCTAACAGATATTTCAGGGAAGATGGTCGTTGGGTGCCCCTGAACAAAGAAAAAACGTTATTATTGATGTATTTTATGCAATTAGTTACTACAGTCGACTCCCGATAACTCGAACCTTCAAGGGAAATAGAAAACAGTTCGAGTTATCGGGAGTTCTAATTATGGAGGGTAAAATTATATAGAAAACGATCTGAAGAGAAATGAAATTTCTTCGAGTTAGTGGGAGGTTCGAGTTATAGAGGGTTCGAGTTACCGGGAGTCGACTGTACGTCACAAGTAAATCACAATCCGTTGCTTGCTTGAAGCCTGTGTAAAACGTGCATGGATCTCTTTTGTCGCCGATCTACCTGCAATATAGGACACTTTGTCGAAATATGGGAACTCAGTGGCCGATCCACACCCACACCTTCAGATAAGTGGGGGGCCCGGTCAGCCAGACCCTGAGATAAGGGGGGAGGGGGCGGTCTCCAAAAAATCTTTTTCCGGTCCTTGGGGCCTTATTTTGGTCGAAAAATAGGGGGCGGGCCCACAAAGTAGCGAAATTTCACAGACGATTGTATACAAAAGTCTGTCAAATTTCGCGAATTTGTAGAGCCATATCTTCGTTAGTTTTCAAAAATCACGTTCAAAATTTGCATCTTTGCAAATTTAAAGGCGTTATTGTTAGCCGTTTGGATCGGATTTGGTCCCAGTCAAGAGTTGGAAAAACCGTGGAACGGATATTAAAGAACCATCGACGTAGGAAGTTGACTGGAGTGCAACTTCCGGAGGCGTGCCGTGCGACAAAGACTCGGTCGGCCTCTACGGCTACCGGCAACTTCTGTTCTCATATGTCGCAACAGTGCAGTTCCAGCTAGTATTATAATGTCAAACCTTTTATTTCCCCTTATTTTTCAACAATGTATTTTTCTGAAACTGAAAGAAAAAAGAACTGAAATTCTATCAAACCAGGATTCGCTATTGTAGGAATATTTTTGTTATATCTTATGAATGCAATTTAGCAAAAAGGAGATCAAAGTTTATTGCTTGCTGGCCGAGCCCATATAATTGTTACACGAAAGAATAAAATTATGTTGGTAAATAATTAACTTAATTAAAAGCAGTTGAATAGAGTTCAGAGCAGGACAAGAAATAAAGAAAAAAAATCTTTCTTTAAGGAATTCTTACATTATTCAGTTAAGGCGAAGGAAAGATCGAACACATGTACTCGTATTAAATTTAAATTTGAAACAACCAATGCAATAAACCATAAAATATAAGTTCAATTATTATGCTGATCGTTGCTAAAATTTCTAAAAAAAATCCGTTAATATAACGGACCCTCCATGCTGGCCTAATGTATCCGACATTGTTGCATAGTGTTGGACTAACATGTTGGTCCAACGTAAGATTGTTGCATCGTGTTCAGCTAACATATTGGACCAACATTGTTGCATCTGCCTCGTACCCAGACGTCTCTCTTTAAAACGTGCGCGCAAAGGAAGGCGGGAAGGAGACAACGGGCGAGACGTCGCTTCGCCTGGCGTCTGTACCCTTCCCATGGCCCATTGCGGTTCATCACCAGTCACTCGCTTCGCGCTCGCCTCTGCCATGCAAAAAACGAAGCGCCTGAGGAAGAGGCGGTTTTTGCATGGTGCACAAAGACGTTGATTCAACATTGCTGCATAGTGACGGAGTAATATGTTGATCCAATGTAAAATCGTTGCATGTGAGTGGACCAAGAAGGTTATTCCAGCATTATCCAACATTATTGCACGGTGCACTATCATTTTGGTTTAACAATGTTGCTTAGTGTTCGAGTAACATGTTGATCTAACTTAAAATTGTTGCATGTGAGTGGACTAAAATGTTGATCCAGCATTAACAAAAATTATTGCATGAAACCAGGTCATCGATATTTATTCGTTCAAAGTTTTGTCCATTTCTGATTGGCTCAAATATTTAAGATCCTGGTTAATTCTACATTACAATCAACTAGCTTTGACTAAATGTGGAGTATATTTGCCGACTTCGGTACGTTGATGTCAATCGTATTCAGTGTGATATGGGTAAAAAAGGGACGCGAAGACTTCGTGAACAGAACAGAGGAGGCGCAGTGCCGAGGGAGGGGGGGGAACTTGGCAGTGCAGAACTGGACACTGGAAGTATTCTGAATGAGTGATGGATGAGGCTAGGTATGATATGGAATGTAGGTCAGCTAGGAAAGTGTTATCCGCCGAGGCCGAAGGGTGATGCGAATGAAAAGTAGACCAGTTACTAGCACACTCAAGCAACTAAAGGTTCAAAACTGGATAATTTTAATAATTCATTGCTGCCTTTGTTTAAACTGAAAAGAATACATTGCTGATACTACCCCGATTAAATCTTCCTGTTTCTGTTACTGTAATGAAGTGTTGATTTACCGGAACAAATTGTTAAATTCTGCAAGTAGGAAGAAAGACGGTGATTATTAGTATCCATGTCGAGTCTATCCAGAGTCTTGCTGTACCACAGAAAGCTTAAGCGAGCTTACTACGTGGTAGCCTGCGTAGCTGGCGGTATTATATTGTCTGGGTGCGAGATTAAAAGTTTGGCGGCGAAGCCGTGTTCCAAAAAAGGGAGTAGGGACGAGGTGTTTGAAATACTCGCGGCTTCGCCGCTCGTGACGGCTCCGCCGTCAAATCTCACTCGACTATTACACAATACCGCCAGCTACGCAGGTTAACTACGTGGTTAATGAAAACTTTGTGGGGAGAAATTTGCAAAGCTAGAGAAAAGTTTACTGACAAGGTTCTATGGATTTGAAAAATGAAAATGGTGTAAACTGTTAGCCTGCCAGAGCATCCGGTTTTTTTGGCTTTAGTTTCTAGTTTCACCCGTGGAGAAAAATTTTTCGGGGGGAAAGAAACGACGACCGGAAATACGTCTGCGGTTAGCAGGCTAGTAAACTGTCGGTGCTATTTTCTTGACATGATTGTCCTCGGTCGCAAACGATTTACAAAGAGAGGAGCTAATTTCTTTGAGTAAATACGCAAAGGTTCACTTACATTGCCAGGGTTCGTACGGAGTCTTAAATTCTTTGAAAAAGTCTTTAAACTTGAAAACCGCCAGTTTTTCAGACCTGGAGAAAGTCTTGAAAACAAAGATTAAGTCTTTGAAAATGATAAAAGGTCAGCCTCCTCCTCAGGCGCTTCGTTTTTCGCATGGCAGAGGCGAGCGCGAAACGAGTGACTGGTGATGAACCGCAAGGGACCATGGGAAGGGTCCAGACGGCACCTTCCCGCCTTCCTTTGCGCGCACATTTTCATCAAAAGAGAGACGTCTGGGTACGAGGCAGGTAAAAGGTTCTGTTTTTGTTTTGGTTTTTTAAAACTGCAGCAAGTGCTTTATTGCTAAGATAATTTTTTCCAGTAGTCAAGTCGTACTTAATCTAGTCTATAGCAAAAATTTCATTGCCTAAGGAACTTTCGTATGTCCGCCGCATAACGCGTGATTACATCATAACAACGCGTATTCCAATCTTTTTATGTAACATTGGTTGCATTCCTTTTAGCCAAATCTTTTTCGGATTTACACAATCCAGATTGTTTGGATTTTCCTGCTAGCCGGAACAAAAATCTGAAATAAGATTGATCCATACAGTAGCTGCCGGCTGCTCTGATCTTCTTCTCAATTTCAATACATCGTTTGTTATTTCTTTCCGCTAAATTAAGCGTCTTCTCCTGGAGAAATGGAAAGAAAAGTAGCTCTTTAACTAGTGGTGGTTCATACCAGGACCCGTCAACTTAAAATTATCGGGAATTTGATTCAAGAAAGTTCAGAAGACAATTACGAATTCTCAGGTGCTGAGAAGCGCGTTCTAAACACAGACACGCATTGGACATTATATTGTTACGGTGAGAAAATGCAAGCGTTTTCGGTTCCTTATGGATTTAGAGTTACTGGGGAACTTGAGTTAATATACTACAATCCGTTAGCAGCAGAGAACAAAGGAGGAGTGTAAATAACTTTGGCCCGAACCAACCTTGAACCACTGTTTTTATAGATCAACGAGCACGATCTTGCAATCGAAATGCAGTTTCGCTTAATTCGTTAAATGGAATAAAAATCTGAAACCAGATTGAGATACCAATCTGAACGATCCAAGTGCGGAGGTGGATCGTTCAGATTGCAGTCTTAGATTGGTTTAGTCCTTAATGGAACGAAAATCAAATTTTGGATAGCAAAATCCAGATTAGGAATGCAACTATTACCTTCCGTTAATCTCAACGTTTTTAGATTGAACAATTAGAATTATTGGAGGAATTAAATTGGCCAAGAGAGACACTTGTCTTCAGTGCGATCAAAGTAACTACGTCTTCAAATGGTTTTCACTAAAGACAAGGTCAAAATCAAAATAGCTGCAGACGATAGCCAACTAAAGTTTATAATTTTACACGTTCGGCACATTGGATTTCTGTGTCACTTTGACTCAGACGAGTTAGAGAAAAAGGGATTAATATACACGCCAAGATTTCGTAAGATTTGATGTTTAAACCAATCAGAAGCGTAGTGGAGACAATAGTAATGTTAGCACCTTTTGGCATTCCGACGTGCTCATTGCATTTGGTTCTCTCGTTCTTATCTGCATGGACCATTACTTAATCCTTTGAAACTTTTTTGTGCTTTTTATATCCGACTAGAAGCTAAAAACTGCTATCAAGTAAAAAGATACCCTTCTGATTGGTGCCAGAAAACTTGTGTTTTTCTGGCACCAATCACACACACACAATCCTCATTAAGGGTAATAACTGAAGCGCACCCTGTAGCGCTGGCATCGGAGTAAGCTAAACGCTGTGGCTTATTAAAGAGAAAAAAGTCGCGCACTTTGATGGAATTTAGGTTGTTTTTTCAAAAATATATCTCCTCAATGCAATAGGGATTCATCTTAACTTTCGCGTCCCAGTGCTGCGCACTTAAGGTAGACATAATGCAGTGCCTAGTCATGATTCTAGAAATGTTCCCGGAAACAGGCGCTGTAGAAATTATATGCCCTGTAAAAGAGACCAATCTTCTGGCAGAAAGAACAAAACCGGAGTCGATAATACTGTCAATGGTACTAGTTATTTTAGCAACCTTCCTATCCGCAATTTCAATGGTTCCACGAGCGTTATCCCAAGTGATACCCAACCAATCAAGCCTCTGGCAAGGTATCCACACTGAATACTGCACACTTGAGAATCCTGTTCAATACCCCATACGTCGTCAAGAAAAACAGCAACGCAAACGTCTTGATGCCTCCAAAGTTTCTCAAGAAGCTAAAGAATTTTTTTGAACACGTGATAATCCGAAAGGTAAAACTACAAACACATAGAACTTCACTTGATTGGAACTGGAATGCTTCCAGGAAAAACCAAGATATGTTTGATGGCCCTCAAAAATTTCAACGTGGTGGTACCCATTTTTCAGGTCGAAGGAAAACATATATGCACCCCGCGAGAAGTAAGACATGGCTGTTTTCCAGTCGTAGTATTTAACGTGCACCTTACGA